TATGTATAACAGCTCACACATAAGACCCACTTAGTTTTTAGTTAAATTTCCGTGGTGGTTGGCGACTGGGCTTCACCCAGTTGTACAGTCTCTTCTTTGTGCCTTTAGGCTTAATTCATTCTGTTTCCTGCAGTAATTCACCCAGGAAAGTGGAAACCATAGTTAACCGACTTCATTTTTTCTTCTTCTCCTCTTACAATATCTTCTGATTCACTTCGTTGCGGGAATCAAGACAGTTACTCATGTCCCTGGGACGCGCCGGACTTCAGTGTGCTGGTGTTTTCATGGTTGTATCTACTGTAGATCCTGGCTTACAGGAGTTGCAGCGGTTTTGGGAGGTTATGGCGGGCTTGTCCCAATAAAAAAAAATATTTAAAGAAAGATTCAAACATAGAAAATTTAAAAAATCTTATTCTCCCTACTTTTCTATTATTCGTCCTAGTTTATTTGTGCATCGCCGCCAGGAAGGCACCCTCCCCTTCATTGCGTCTTACAAATAATAGAAAGTCCCACATCAAAACCTGCCAACGGAAAAATCATGGACGCCTGATCGATTTACGTCACAACTATAGCAATATTGAACAAGAACGCGCGGCAAATTAGAAACAAGCACATAAAACGATAACGATTTTAATTGTTCCGCCAAGCTTTGTTTTATAAACAGCGCTCATTATTGAACGAATCATAATAGTTATTTTGGTTACAAACTCCCAGGCTGTTACGCGTCTTCTGTTATAAATTAAAGGCGTACACTTTTCAAGTTTTATTGTCATTAAGTTGGACGATTGTGAATATGAAGGTTCTTGTGGCTGTCGCTTTATTCGCCTTCGTGGCCTTACAGGTAGGCAATTTATTAATGTGCTAAACTTTATCTACATATTTGTGATTTGAACAAACTCCGAATGTTGTGTTTCTTGTTTTGTCATGGTTTTACTAATTGTTGTGCCGCGATTCAACGTTTATTTACTAGTGCCATTTGTAACCCTATTCACGACTTCATTAGCCATAAAAAATAAGCTCAACTCTAGTTTAATAGGTACTAAGAATTAAAAAATAAGAAGGATTGCTCTACTTTTTTTAAAATTAAACCGGTAGGCTCATTAGCCTATGGAAAGGTTGCTAAAACTAAAAGAATATAGCTTAACGATTAGTCTAATTTGTAAAAAAATGTATCATTAACCATTCCATGGTCTCCTTGTGTAGGAAAGCCGGAGTAAACCTACTAATCAAACCAAGGACGACGAAGATTGTCCCACGAGGATAGTTTATCTAGAATCTGTAGAAACAAACGTAAATAATAACCTTTTAGTTTGCTTAGAAATATATAAATTTGTGAATTCCAAATTGATAAAAAATAATGAACATACTTTACCTACCTGCTTTCGTACCTTATCCGTGGCAAGTTATTTTGAGACTTTGACCTGTTTTACCTAAGTGCTAAGATCCTCAGTTGTGCGCTAGTAAAGGCCCAGCATTAACCAACATTACCTTAATCTTGAAAGTTGCATTGTAATAGCATAGCTTATTCTAGAGTCCTTGCTGGACTTACACAGGCAACTGCGGATCCGCGGGTACAATGACAGATCCGCGGTTGTCTGCCCATCGGGGCATGCCTACAACGGCCACAACCCTTATTTGCAAATTGTAGCCGATAAAGTCTCACTTTCACGGCCTATGGAGATATATTTATTTATAAGACTTTCCAACATTTGAATATACATTATTATAGGTACCTACGGTACAAAATAATAAAATACAGGCACGATGTCTGTATCAGCACCTCATTCCCAGCCAGATAAATTACATAATATTAATATGTATACCCTACTGAAGCCCCGACACTCCATTATTCATAAATTCATTTAATGATTTAATGTAAAATGTAATAAATGAGAAAATGTAGGTAGTACATTAATAGCTATCAAACTATTAACAATTTTCAAATCTAAACCGCGACGAATCACATTTTATGCTAACAACAGCGATTCAATTTCTAACTGTAGCTAATGGGGTGTATAATTTGAACACAATACTTAGGTCACCCAGGTAGGTTAGGTACCTAAATTACGGAAGACCTAAGAAGAATAGATAACCTGCTTACCTGGAAAGCTGATTTTCCGAACTGTGTTATCAGCTTTCCGTCGTGGTTGCTTATCATTTAACAAATATCAACCACCGCATAATCGAAAAATAGTTTTGTTTTAACTTGACTTTTGACAGCATGGTCAACGCAGAGCTGGGCAACCAGCTGCTGTGCAAGATACTCAGTATCGGATGGTTCCAATTCCCAGATGGAACATTATTTGTGTGATCCACAAATTGCTGTTCAGAATCTTGAGTATGTACAAAGTCAAGAGAATCTGAGCATCGGGCAACGTTATATAGTCGCATACCTAAGCGAGATGCCTGTTATGGGTACCAAGATTTATAACAAATTATCTGTAGGTACCTGACGTCTGATGTAAACTGTTATTGCAGATGAGCCATGGTGCACCCGCGCCAGAGGAGGAAAAGAAAGAGGAGACACCTTCTTCGTCACCCTCAGCCGCTCCCACCGAAGTCACATCTGAAGCGGCCGCCGCCGCCGTAGCTGAAGTTAGTTCCACTACTATTCTGTCCTAACTTTTATTCTTTAGAGTTATTCTAGAAAGGCAATCTTCGCTCTGGAATGTGTAATGTGTGTTTTCTGCGAAATACATGTTCCGAACTGTAACAACGCTTGCATAGTGTTTCGGCATCTCGCCATTTGAGTTATCCGGGGTCGAATACACTTAGTTTTAAAAGACGGATTACCTGATAGCGAGCAATCGACGCCGCCTGTGGGCACTGATTTCAGTGCGTTATCGGTCTTTTGATTTAGGAATGGGGATTCGGGAACCTCACTTACACAGCGAAATACAACGCAAGCGCTGTTTCGCGCCCCGGTTATCTGTCAGAACGCAGTATCAGGCGGCAAAATGTGGCAAGTGGTCGAGCAGTAGATAAGTTAGAGAAGGCTCCAATGTGTGCATGCTTAGGCTACTGCAGCATATATTTTCACATAGGACGACAAAGACCTGTCAACTTGATAACATTTGTTGAAAACTATAAATCACAAAGTCTTCCAAAAAGCGTCCTGACTATTTTATATTTTGGCAGTGACGACAAAATAAGTACCAACTAAACCATTAATTTGTTTCCAGGTAAAATCAGAAGCACCAAGTTCTGACGCTCCGGCTGCACCAGCTGCAGCTGCAGCAGCGCCGGCAGCCGCGGAGACAGCCGCCCCAGCAGCCGAGGAGAAGAAGCCCTAGGTTATAGTAGTGTAACGCCGAGGACATGGTGCGAGCGTAACAAACCGGAGCGATGTCCGTAACGTAATGTGATCTTTGTAAAATAAACACTTGGAAATAAACGTGGTTTGTAATTCAGATACTTACATGCTTTTATTTTTGTGACTGACTAGTCTGATTACTTAGTTTTCTTTCAAATTTGGGCCATGATCTAAATCCTTGCCAGTGGTGGGACTACAGGGTGGCAACTGGCAAGTCGCTAAAATGGCACGGGCCCCTCTCTAGCCGGAGGCCGTGCAGAGGGTCTCATCTGAACTTCTCTTTATTATAGAGAACGGGGGCCCATCCGATGATTTGCCACGGGCGCCGAACGGTATAGTTACGCCACTGATCTTTGTTTAGTTGTCATTAGACCCCAAGATAACGCAGATCTAATGTTCATAATCTTTAATTTAAGGACAGATCTTTGACTTTAATCAAGAAGATTATAATTCCGTACAATACTACGGCCACGAGTATTTCGTACAATAATTCTGATGTTTTTAAAAACATACAATACGTTTCCATTCAAGTGTAGAAGAAAAAGTCAATAAAAGGGGAAATTTCAGATCGGCGCGTGCGTAAGTCCAACGGTGTATCGTTTCGTTATTATACAAGCATAGCAAGTACAAGTACCTACTTAGGTACTTACTTACAATACTTTACATAACTGTAAGTGAGTAAAAGGCAGGTAAATAGGTAGCGCTTTGATTCGATCGACTCATTACATAAACAATTTAATTAAACACGTGGCAGGCTTGTAAAATGTTTATCAAGAAACATAAATTGTTATTGCACGCTTTGTTAATTTCTACTGGAGAAAATCAATTCGCAATTATTATAAATTACTTTTAGATTATTATAATTAGATTGGCCTAACCCTTTGAGTACCGTCATTATAGACACAATTAAAGAACAATAGGTTGCGGTCACCAGTCACCGGTGTCCTCGCGGTGTTTGACACTTTAAAAAGGATAGTTTTATCGAGCTTAACTCGTCGAGTACCGGTTTTGTAGACAATTATAGAACAATAGGTTGCGGTCACCGGTGACCGCTTGGTGTATGACAGTTTAAGTTAATCTAACTTTTGGTAAAGGTCAACCGTTTTAGTAATTTCGTATATCTGTCTTCATACTCATAAATAAATCGAAGTTGTATCCGTGATAAACTTAAAAACTACTAAACGGATTTCCATGCAATTTTCACTAATGTATAGAGTGAACTTTAGTTCCTACTGACACATGTGAGGACAGCAATTGAGCTACCAATAAAATCAATAATATTGCGATACTTATTTTATTATCATTAGTAGTGCAAGTATTTAATTAGTGGTAAAGAAGAGAATATCCCTGACGCTTCCACCAGAAGGCAGCTCCAGCGGTGTGAGGGCGACTGCTCCAGCACTGCCTACCCTGTACCGGGACGTGCTCTCTGTACCCTGGATGTACAGGGTGACCTGCACAACAATAAGTACTCAAGAAGTCTAAAACATTCTAGTCAAAAGCTATTCCGAAATGCCAAAAGTTTTTTAGACAGGTGATTAATAAATTGCTGAATCAAATGGATCCATTTATAGCCACATCCCATCTATATCCTACTATCTTATATATAGTAGGATACAAACAACGTAGGATCTTTTTTGAACACAGACCTTTATCTACTGAAAATTTGATGAGCTTCAGGTCACCTATTTACGTATTTCACGCTCGTTATCATCAAAGACTGTAGACGGAATAGAAGAAGACTGGTTCCATCCACATCATGAGATGATGTAAATATATAATATCGAACTGACCTGCGGCGGTGGCGCGTGTCGACTGGGCTCCCCGGAGAGCGGCACGGAACGCGGCGAGCGACGCCGTCGCTTGCCCGCCGAGCGCCGGCCCTCGTGTCGCTTGCGGCCGGCGGGACCGCACGAACCACCAGTCGCAGCCGACTCTAGACCCAACTCTCTACTCTATACTCTTTCGCTAATCAAAATCTCCAAAGTTGCCCATAAACACAATTCGGTCACATCTAAGTAATGAGCTTCAGGTTCATCATCATTATCATCAACAACACCAAGAATATGTCCACTACTTGAACATTTGCCCCATTTTAAGACAGTTTTGCCATAAACCCCATGTTTGGAAGTGGATTTGAGGACTGCACAATGCGCTCACCGAAATTAGCTAGTAGTAGGTAGATGGTAGTTTTTGGAACACGCCCAATGATGGTGTGATATTGCTCAAATACACTGACAATCAGTTTATATTCAAAGCCTACCCGAATATTTTTACCACTTTGGATAAGTACTAAATCAGATCTAATTTCAATAGCAAGGGTACCAACCATCAGTGTCGAGTGATGACTCGGGAGGTGGGAGTGGTGTGGGAGGTGGTGCAGTGCGCGACAGTGCGGCCTTCCTGCTGTCCACCAGGCGGAGCAGGCACTCCAGAGCTGCTTGCTTGTTCTAACCACCAAAATATTATAATTAATAGGTACCTATAATGAAAAGGTGTACCTAATTTTCTCTCGATGGATTAAATGCAGTTTCCGAGACACACCTTGATTTCATCAAGCAAAGGCTCAAATGCTGCTGGGTCGGTGGAGTCTTTCAGCGCTTCCCAGTTCTTGAAAAGCTTTCTATCTGACAGGCGCACTGTGCTCTCTAACTCCCTAACCTCTGAGGAAGGCATAAGATAATGTTGTTAGAAGAATATTTTAATAATCGCTAGAAGCGTAAATTAACTAAAATACTTTGTTAATCATGAAAATATCATCAATCTCGATTTCGATCATGAATCTGTGAAAAACTAACCAGTTTCCCTCAAACTTGCCAGTTGCGATACGAGATGCTTCTTGTGCGCACGCACAGCGCGTCGTTGCGCACGCACACGCGTCACTACGTCACGGGCGTTGCGCGCCTCCGCAGCTATTGCGGCTACTTCTCGTGCTTCTTGTTCTAAACGACGTTCTAGTTCACTGGGGAAAATCCGATGAGCTTATAAGTCGTATCTATCTAGGATAACTATTACCAAACAAAGATCTCCCCCTAAAGGGAGAAATTTAATGGATACTACATTTCAAAGTCATAGGTACTCAGGTACAAAAGGCCAGAAGGTAAGATTTACTTACGTTGGGTACTCTCCTGTGATTTTGGCATACGATTGTATATTTCTTATCACTTCCACCAGGTTGTGGAGTTGGTCACAAAACTCCGGCAGTTGCTCTGGTGTCAAATATTGTCCACTGTATCTACAACATAAAGTAAGTAATTATGACAATTTCATCTTTAAGCTGCAAGCTACCTAAGCTGACAATACTTTCAAGTCAAGTTCTTGGTTACTTTACCCTTCCCCTGAGTTCTCTTACTAGTACTAGAGTTTCTTGTTTAGCAGTAGAAGTTGCATTCAGTCCTTTATTAAATAACTTTTTCCTAGCAACTTCTAAAGTGGGTACAAATGTTCCATAATGAGTTCGTAAACTAAATGAGAGGTAGAAAAGATGCATGCCTCAAATCGATGTTAGCAGGAAAGTTGTCATCGTCAAGTCCACAGCAGTTGTGCATGGAAGTCTTGGGGCAGACCTGGGGATCCATCTCCAGGTCCTCATCCATGGTGGTGCTGCAGCCTGTACTCTCGCTCATGCTGGACACGTGAAGAGCTTCGTTAGTCGACTGCTTTATATTAAAGTAAAACACGCTTTTAGGCTCGTTGCGTGTTCGTGCAGACTGTGTAGTGTTCACTTCGAGACTCCCGTTGTCACTGCAGATATTTCGCTGATGTTACGCTTCAGATTAAACAGACGAAGAAGTGAATTCCTAACATGATTACATCCATAAGTGTATTAGATTACCCTTCATACCAAAAAAACATTTCTTCTGCAGGACCACTTTACTCCTGGTAATAATAGGTTTTCTCTACAAAAAAGGGTTTGCTCTATCTCTGCGCTTGACAAATGGATTTAAGATCGAAGTTGAAATGTCTCAGGTTTATATGAGAGCGCTACTTTCACACCAAACCCACTCATTTGGATACGGACATTGTTGTTTACAGTGCATAGACAATAATGTTAGTTTTATAACCACAAAGAAACTCACGCGGAAGAGCTAAACGAGAACCGTTTATCGAGAGTGCTGTATTTATGGTGATCGCCTCTGAGTCTGCTGAACAACCTGCTGAGAAGCCGTGTCTGTCGCCCCCCGCCCTCCATACCGTGCCTTCTGGCCCGTGTGGAAAACTGTGCCTGTGCTGGAAACAAAGATCACATACCTACATTATATAATTACTGGCGATAAATATTGCACATAGCAGTGAATACGGTGACTTGGTTGATTCTCTTCCCAAAGCTTGATGTGCAATGTTTATCGCCAAGTACCTACTGGTAGTTCAAACTACATGGTTGGCTATTAGGTATATGGTCAAATGATCGACTATTATCAGTAGCTCTTCTCATACTTTCCAACGAACGGTGGTGTCACACCGTTATACCGAGTAAGAGGTCAGTCTCACCAATTACTTCCAGTTTGCATACGGATTTATAGTTCGGCAAGTTAGGTTATTCACAAAATTCATACCACAATAAGGCAACTAGGAAACTACTTACATTGTAATCAATTTATGCAGATTGAAAATATGGTAGTTTTACATGGATATTATCAACAGGGGAATGTGCCATGTTTCGCAATATTTTTATGATTTATTTATATGTGGCTAACATTTTGACGGAATGTTTTGGTATGGCGCCCATTTTGTACATTTTTATTTGTTCTGTAATGACAGATTTTGAATAAGGTTTCAATTTAATCTTGTGTAGTTTCGACCAGTACTAAATCAAATAATAAATCGAAAACTACTTTTCCTTGGTTTATGGTGCCGGATGGGTTTGTCCCATCCATAGATATATGTCGCGGAGAACCTAACGGGTAACCGGGGCTCCGGCTCGACGTGCAGGAGAAGGAACGGGGTGGTTTTTAGTCAGTAAGAGTCTGACACTCCCTCCCGCCTCACCCAGGCGGGGGCAGTCATTCGATGATTTTCCCCCCTTAAAAAAAAAAAAAAAAAAATCCATAGATATATAACAGTAGTCCCATCCCAGTTCCCCATCATAGAGAATGGGTTG